GCCTTTCTTTCCGGTCCAACTACCTAGCCGGATCACTACATTCCTGTGTCTTTCAAGGGCAGTTTCACCGCTACCCTCCAGTCCTATCACGTTCTTAGTTAACTGACTCAACTCCTGTTGTAGCTCCACCAGCTTCCCTTCCTGCTCCCTTGCTTGCACTACTAAGGCTTCGATATCCTTCTGACCCTTATTTGAAGCTTCTCTACTATGCGACACCTATTTATCAGCTGCACCATAATCCCTGCGTCGTACCACTGCTGCAGTTCTCGCGGCCGACTTCAACGACTCAGAAGCTATCCACTGGGTCCTCTCCAGTAATGCGGTTTCTCTACACGTCCTAACACAGGCAGCACATACTGACTTCAGGAAGTTGTGCTCAGTATAGAGCCCGTCTGCCTTTTTAGCTAAGGTACTACACTTCTGGTGGTATCAACCGCTGCAAACATCGCAACAAATGCCGTCGAGCAACTCCTGATTGCAACCTTGGATCTCACATGGTAAGTGTTTTGGTCTAGGAGTATAGGTGTTTACCCTCTCTCTAGTTTTGATGCTCTTAACAACCATTTGGCTAAATACCATGAGACAGGAATACCTAAGCTGAAAGAAAACTATGCAACTTAGTAATCCTACGGTTAATAAATCTACAACACGATGATATCCTGAGAATAAGATACCAATATGACAAAATGTATGCTAGAAGAAATAATTTAAACACTAATTTGAAGACAACAAAGACAAACTTATCAGTCACGAAGCAATGACAATGAGTGCGACAATCTTATTACAAGTTGCACGAGTTTGAGTACTGTGCCTACCGAATAGATCAATGAGTAACGCGTCACATAAATTGGATCCCAGAAAGTCAATAAAACAAACGATTCAGCACGTTTCTACGTTACTGCAATAATAAACGGTCAAATAAGCAAATAACCTCTGTACAAACCTCGAAATGATCTCGGAAAAACTTGAAAACAAGAGCCAATTGTTACTACTATCGTAATTCAATTCATCAGAACGAGAGAAAATGTGTCTGCCGATCGTCCCGGAAGTAACGTAGCATCCCAACTATTGGGATTTCTAAAGAAGACCGATGCTTAAATATATTTTCCAAAAAGTGATGTCGAATTTAGCTGAGATCGAACAGATTTTGATTTGGCTGAATTTGGGTCATTTGTTAAAATTTAATTTGTGGTAATTAACCTTAATTGAATTTGTCCGGAAAGTATAAATATCGCAACTTAATGGCAGCCATCACATTCACGCTCATACCAACCATGGCTCACGTTGACAATACGGTCGTTTTCGAACGAATGGTAAAAAATTGCCATGGATCGCTGGATGGATTCTTGGAGGACTTTCGCGAATTCTAAAAGGTTACCTGCACATCCTTCCTCGTTTATGCATCAATGACAGCCGAACAACTGATACAAGAGAGAAAGTTTAGTCGGAAAGTGACCCTGCCTGAGGGATTTTGTACTATTTCATCAAATATCGTTGTAAACATTATCGGAGGCGCGGCGCAACTGCAACCACCCGTTTTCGTCTTTAACATATCGATTGTCCGGCATTCGTTGGAATTCGCGCGGTCGGGAGGGAGTACCGAGTGATGAAACGTTGTCTGGTGCACAATCATGACTTCCATGTGGGTCAGCGGGATTTGCATAATACTAATCGTCGTCTATCTGGAAAACAATAAGAGTAAGGTGTACTTTGATGGACACTTTTAGAAGTAATCGCGAGCTAAGGGATTTCGCCACACAAAGATCCAAGAGACTCTTAACTACGGCGCATACGTCGAAAAAGATCTCAATCGGATTCATGTGGCGATGCGGTGAAAGTTCGGGAAATGCTG